AGCGCCTCCATTACGGATCGTAGTTTTTCCAGCCGGGTTAACTAATTGTTACCTTGCAACCCTAGCCACAATCTAGTTTTCCAGAACAGAATAAGTACACCCGCTCGCCATCACATCCACTATATGTATAAATATATATATATATATATATATAAAGTAGTTTTACGAGCAGACCGCTTTCTGTAGGGGGGAAGGGCGGGCGAGCGGTTAGTCAAAAGCTCTTCACGCCGCTGAAGCGGACATGGCCGTGGTCGTTGAACAAGCGGAAGATCGTCCGTTATGACTGCATGACAATGCCCACCCATATCGCTCGCTGCGAATACAGTTACCATTCCTGCCAGTACAAATATTGAGGTTGTTAATTTCATTCAATTGCATTTCGCGTCGGCGCTGCGTATCGCCGAATATTGTTAGGGGACAAAGCTTCCTTCCGTGGCCGTGGCTGCCGCTGCAGCCTCTGAACAAGCATCTTCAAGGGATCGCATTATCAACAAGAGCCAGTCACACTTGAAGCGAGCGAACACCCAACAGACCACAAGGGAGGAACTGTTGCGGTAGTTGATAATTGAAGAGACGACGATGAGGGCGCTAGTGATGTTGATGATGTTGGTTGGTCGGTCGGTCGCTGGGCGCGCGGATCAGCGTCCGCCGACGTGTTCATACTCGTCGCTATCATAGAACAGTGTCGACTATTTGTGATTACGCTTGCGTTTGTACCAGCGACTCTGCTGCCGCTGCTGATGCTGACGCTTAAGACGGCGACGACGATGGTGGCAAACTTAAGAGAAGCATCAACAATGGCTACGGTCGCGCTACTGCCTGTCGTCGGCGTCGGGCGGTTAAGTTAGCGCAGCGCGATAACGTCCCTCAAGCACTAGCAGCAGGCACAGCTACGTAAGCGCTCACTCAGTGGATCGACACAGAGCGAGAAAGAGACAGGCAGACAAAGCGACGAACAAACGAAGGTAACGATCCTTCTGCCGCAGCGGGTGCTCCTGGCGTCGCTGCCGCTGCTTGTTCCCTATCTTGCCCTGTCGTCAGCGTCGTTCCTTTCCCGTTAGTGAATAGCACGAGTGGAGTTTTGGAGCGCGTTCCTGACCGGAGTGCAGAGGACGCCACGCTTCGGCAGCAGTGGCCACCGTAAGAGCAGCAACTTAATCTGCTCCAGCAGAGTCGGCAAGCAACCGGCCACCTTAGCTAATACGAACTGCTGCAGCAGCAGCAGCAGCAGCATCCGGCATCATTTCAGCAAACTCACCAAGCCAATAAGCCATTCAGTAAGTTCCCAACAGATCTCTGTCGTTCTTCCTTCCTCCTCGTCTCTCGATACGAAAGGAAATCATCGCCACTGTTGGCTGTGACTTTCTCACCGTAAGGTAACAGTCGTTGGTCCCTGTCGTCGGCTAGGTAGACCAGCCCGCCACCACCTACTGCAACTTACCATAGCCTACCGTAACGAGACCTACAACTCGACCTACGTAGGTTTTTACTTGGCGCCGGTTGGGCGGCTAGTGCTATTTCTGCTGTTCACCGTAGACTGTAGTCGCCATCTACGGTGAGATAGCGAGCGACGGCAGGCGCCAGCCAGGATAACTGCCGACTATCTAGGGAGAACTACGGAAGCAGACCAACTACCGGAGGCACTACTAGTGCGGTGGGTCTTCGACGGAGGTGAGTGCAAACGCAACTCTCTTAGGATGGGTTACAGCTGCCGTACCTACGGCTGTGCGCAGTGCGGTGTGACGTGACGCGATAGAAGTTGTGAGATGGTGGAAGGCGGTACGCTCGTTGATGTTCCATGCCAGTAAATGCTGACAAAGAAGAAGTACGTGGAACAATCAGAGTGGATCGAGAATTCGCTTTGGCTGCCATCTCTGCAGGGAGTGTACCATGGAGCGGTAAGCGCGGTCCCGGTGAATTGAACATTGCTACAAAGAGGAAAGTGACTTGTCAATGTTGGAATGACAAACAATTCACTGCTATCATGGATGTCGATGTAGGAACTTTACCGAAATATAGATGTGCTCGTAACAGCTGGAAAATGCTCAGTGGTGTGATGTGTATTGTCCGTCACGCAATAAGATAACTATATCTGATGGTGCGCACATTGTAAAGAATCTATGGAGTTTACTGGAACTTACCTAGTTTACTGAAAGTTAAAAAAATACGTTGCGACAAGAAGAACATACGCTCTTTGAAGGACAAGCACTGCATAGAATAGTCGTTGATGTGTTGACCTTAGAGAAGAAATACGTCAGCTAGAGAAAAAATATCTGTTCTGTTGTTTTCGCCTGTCTCAACATCTTCAACGTCACTGTAGAACCCTCACAATGGCATAAATCATGCAGCATTACATATATATATATATATATATATATAGAGACAAACTAATTTACGCCTGGTATTACAACTTATGAGCAATAATGGTGATCGGCAGTGACATCAGTGGCGTTCCAATAACAGGGCAGAATAAACCCTGACGTGATGCAAGTAGCCTTCTTATAGGCATCGCTCACAATTCTCCACCGGCCTAACCGCAAAACTGGCATCTTGCCGTATTTACGCTGCGTCACTGACTCCCGCTGCAGCCGCAGCGGATCTAGAAGACCCAGCAAAACCCAATAGAAAGTAGAAAATGTGCACGGAAGCACGGCACTGCGAAGGCTGCCATTGCCGTTGCAGCCGCCGCCGTTGTCACCGCAACAAGACTAGAAATCGCATCAGCTCCAGGAAGGAATGCAAGAATCTCTTCGATCTCTTAAGGCGCCTGAGGAATCTAAACGACCACGGGCGCTGTCCTTGGTTGATTGTACTTTCTGCTCGAGCAGGCGCTAGCGTAGCTTTTGTTACCGTCGCTGTGATTGTTACTGCTGTTGTTGTTGTTGTTGTTGTTACGGTGGTCACAAACGCTGGAATTGGCATCGGCGCCGACAGTGGTTGAGAGACACCGTGAAAGAGGCAGGCGGATGTATGGCGGACGCCTGACGCGCGATTAGAGGAAATTGAAGAAGAAACGCTCAGCGCCGTCGGATGGCTGGAGATAGCGGAGATGTTTTAGTTGATCCATCAGTCATTCAAGCAACTCCAACGCCAGGCATCGACTAGCCGCTATTGATCGATCACAACCGCAGTCTGCATGTTCCCCGCGATCTCCATACCTGTTGGTATCGCCAAGAACTCTATAGGTCATTAGATCCTTCTTCTTTTCCATGAAACACGACGTAACTACAAGTCAGCCAATATTCGACTGACGACGTGAGTTTTGTAAATGACAACGGCATGGTCGGCGTCCACAGCAGCAGTATGGCTTCCAGCATTGTTCGACATCGTAAGGTACTCAGCCGAAGTCCTCTAATAGGTAATGCTGTCATCGTTGTTGTTTCTAGCAGTTGTTTCCTATCTTGTAGAGGCAGCAACTGTGATAGCTTGCTTCTCGCTTGGCCTAGAAACAACATGGCTGTGCAAGGCGATCGATCAAAGCCATCCTCGTCGTTCTCGATGTCCTATTGATCGCTAAATGCGGCAGCTATTGCCGTCGAGTGCCCGGTGCTACTACCGTCGACAGCTTCATGGCCAACAGGGTCACTTCGTTAACTCGTAATTTTCACTTCTTAAAAAGTTCCACGCTAAGCAATGTTGGAGTTGGCGAACGAAAACATAGATTCGAACGTTATTCGACTAGAACTGAATTAGCTGCCACAGTCAAGGACCACGTGGAAATACGCGTTACGACGACGCGTAAAGGCGGCAGAGCAGAAACGGAGACAAGGTTTACATTGAGATAAAATCGCGCCGTCATAGCAATAGATGATCAGCAACGATGCTGGCTATGGAGCGGTCCTTTGGCAACGGCGGCCGCAGGAGTTAAAGGAATCGTCGTATGGGTCAGCGATGCCTCCAGAAGGACAGCCGCTAACTATTGCGACTCCTGTAGCCTGGTCCGACGCGGCAACCCGATTTCTCAAGGAGAAAAGAAGGCTAAGTGGTCTCCAACTAACAGCAACGGCAGCATCTTGGGCCGATATTGTGCCGAAAGCGGACACGTTGGCGAACTCGCATATATGAACAGATATGAGACTTAAACGTTGCTCAACTTGAAAGGCGTCAACAAAGTGTTTGCGAGCAATCTGTCCCGCGCTTTCGTCTGTTGCCTCGTTTATTATCCACCTTGACATACATGATAAATGCAGTTTAGCCCGGAAAATTCGAAAATATACTAATTTCATCAGATTATTGAAGCGGCCCTAGTGTGACTGGCTATATTTCACCAAGCAGAAGGAATCAAGAGAGTTCTTGCGGTTAGCTCGCGTATAAACCAACACATCACACGCGTCAAACTCGAGTCTAGTGTTGTTGTTATTATGTTTGCCATTGATTGTCAGATCTCGAAGCTCTGCCTAGGCCATGCCGCTCCTAGCTCGCCATTAACTCTAAAAGGATGATTTGACAGCTACTTAGTACAAGAGCAAACAACAGACAAAAAAGACCGACTGGTCGAGTGATATGATTTGTCTTTGGAGAGATTTCAACATAAGTGCGTTAAGACGGCTCAGCCAATGATTCTATTAAATAGAAACTGTATTGTGATAGTTATTCCTGGTGAGCTGTGTGATGGGCTCAAACTAGCCCAATAGTAAACTGGCTTATACATTCATATATACTTTACTTTGTTGTCGTTGTGGTGGGAGTCTGTGCTGTGGGAAAGATATTCTCCACTGGGGTACCAGACATAGATCGGAAACCGATATTACCACGAAAAAGACAGATGGGCGTGTCACGCAACTCAGCTGCCGTAGAATTGAAAATCACAGTATTGTGAGTACTGATGAACCCATAACCGTTATCCATGACAAATGCCGACAGAGTAGATTATGCTTCAATGAAATTGTAGAAAGCATGAGAAAAGGACCGGCTGCAAAAAGGCAGGCAGAATCTGTGATTCGACGTTTACTGAGAACCTGTGTTTGTGTGTGAACCTCCGGTGGTTATTACGCGCTCAGATCGCCTTGGAGGACTACTATCTGCTTCTTGGTAAGTTCAAAGTCATCTTCCTCCACGACCCCTACGAAGGGAACATATATATATATATATATATATATATAAACGTAAATGGCGGAAAACTTAAAAAAATTGAATCGAGGCTATGATACAATCTCTTCTAGATCATTATAAGTTAACTCAGCGTCTAGTTTAAAGGAAGTCTCTCGTATTGTACTCTCGTTTTTTTTTCAAAATGTCAAGAGGCTCCTTTTAAACTGTCCAGACGTTTTTGCCTAACTCTGTATTTATAGTGCAAAATGGTTTTGGCTGGCAGATTTTCGGCTATGAGCAATGTTGACTCTGAGATTGAGAGACTCTCAGAGTCAAACAGAATCAAAAATTAAATCATAAACGATACTATTCAGCACCATCTGGTACGAATTTTCTCTGTCGCTAGCTTTCTTTGGAAGGGACCTTTCAATTAGAAAGCCAAAAAAGGCTACCGGTTCATGGTACACCTGTGTATCTCCTATGATAGCCCAAATGGGAGCCTTGACAGGGCCTACAAAAGGTAAGATTAGTTTCTGCAACAACGCTCTGTTGGCTAGCTCAAATCCTTTCTTCCTTCTGTCCTAATAAATCGAATTTCTTGAAAAAGAGAAAACAAGCTTCCGTGTATTAGCTAAATCTCCATTTATTTGATGTTTGTTCTACCGTTATCAGTGTGTCCCTGAATAGCTACTGCCGTAGGCGACGCTGCGAAATGTTGCAGCTGCTAATGATAACAATCATCCAGTCCTATTACAGTGAATGTATTGGAAATCACGACGTCTTAAAACTGACCCAACTAGAATCGACCCAAATAGCTTATTATTGTTCTCGGTGCGTTATAGACATTCACTCATATGGCATGTAGAATGAGTCCAACTGATCGGTGGCGGCCGTTATGGCTGGTACCGTTGCAGTGGCTACAGCCTTGCCAGCCGTCTTGATTAGTTGATGCTGTGTAGAGACTTCCAGGTATTGTTCACGCCATCTAAAGTTGCATACTTGACCAAAAAAATCTATTCGTAGAAACATAGTCATCGAACTCTCCAGCACACGCCTCGCTCTGATTTGCAACAGAGAGCATATCACCGTTACTACATTATGTGCTGCAACGTATATATACACACACACACACACATACTGTAATGACTATGTGTCCGTAAATCATAAAGATCAAAAGAAAGAGTTTATAAATTATGTATTAATAACACAAGGATTTATATAACCGTTACCCACGAATGTATGTGTCTGTGATGACGGCTTGTCGAGCTATTAGACATGTACTCGAGCCCTTTACATAGGACACGTTCTCTTGCATGTTGGTTTCTGACGGTGGTTGTTTCTAAGTAAATACTTATATGTATGTATGTATGTATGGTGCATTTAGCTACGTGCAATATGTTTACGTTGACACTAGTCGGGCTCGATTTTACAGTACTATTTGGCCATGATTACGCCAGGCCTAATACAACTCTTTTATCTACTGATTAAGTGGTCGCCAACACTGCTCAGAGTTGCATTTATTCAATTGTATATTTGTTTGTCCAAGAAGTTGATGGTGCCTTGCCTAGTGATAGATTTATTATTTTTCGCGCGATATTTAAACGTGAATGTTTGCATTGTCCTTAACGCGGCCAAAAATAGCTATGTGCTGAAGGTTCGTGTTTTAATCTGATCAACGCTTATTTACGGGCCTCACCTCCGAGCGCTGGGCTTAGTGCAGCTTGAACGCGACCCACCTGAAACTCTCCACTTGGCAAAACCCATTATCCGGGAAGTTAGCATTATACATATAACTAAATAGTTACTTTATTCATTAGCTAGCGATTTTGTTGACGCTTGGGCAAGATGCACATTTGACATACATTTTGCAATGCAGGTGTACCGAAGCAAGTGCGTTATAGCGTATCCATCAAGTTATAGGATCTGCGGAAGGAACGCTTTTCACGGGAATGTTCTGTTTTGTACGTGTTGGAGATTTCGATAGATTTAGTCCCTTGCACACTTCGGCAGGAGGGCACTGGTCAATGTACTGCGAGGGCCATTATTTGCCAATATTACGAAACAGATTATAGAGGGCCAAAAATTATAAGAATTCAAATAAATGGATATCCGTTACTGTCACTATGCGCCTGGCTGTTGAAAGCGCGGGGCAATTTTGGGACAATCACCTGCCCAGTTCGCCGACAGCATTCCTAATGTCTACCCTAAAAACCTGATACTTGATAAGAGGCGCCTTCGTGCTTATATTATTCACTTATTTCGGTGTTTCCGTATTTAAATAGAAAACGCTACATAAATACAAATGTGTAGGAACTTTAAGGTGAATATTCAATGGTGCAATCAAAATGCATATTTCAACCCGACCCCCGTCCCCGTTCCCCGTCCTTTAACAATATGTTATTTTTTTTTACTAATGATCCGTCTTATGAAATAAATCGTGTGTGTGTGTGTGTTGGCCAGGCACTTAAAAACGGCGTTTTTAGCAGTTTCGGGTCCTCGCTTGTCAAATATATGTCATTTTTACGCTACCTCACATAATATGTTTGAGCAGCTGTGACTGAATATAAATGGTCATGATTCGTCAGGTTCAAGTTTGTAGGAATACAACCGATCAGGCGATCTGAAAATCTGTGTAGCGTTGCTTGCTCTTTCTTTCCTCTTATTTGATACAGTCCAAACGGAGGGCATTTTGTTTGTGTTTTGATCATTTGATAACGAAGTTAGGTCGAACTAAAAAGTATGTTAACCTATTTTTAGAGTTGGGAGAAAAGAGCACAATTTCGCAAGTGTTGCTTAAATCGGCCGTGTTTATGTAGTAGAATACATAGGGGTGACCTAAGCCTAAATTCTATATAAGCCTAACGCGCACCTACACATATTCGATACAGAAGGTTTGAAAAATCTAGTTTATAAACTTGTTTTGGACTGGTCCATCTATCAATAACAGGTCGTTATGTATGCGAGCGCCGTTCCAAATACGAAGTATGCAGTTTCAAGAAAGTTGAGCGTTTGGGCATTCTCGAATGCGCCTTAGTTAAAATGTTGAAGAACGAGGCAATACTTTTCAAGATTTGACGTTGAGAGAATAATAGAAATAATAACTACTACTATTACTATTGCTACTTCAAATAGCCCTAAGAGGCGATTTCGTTGGGAAGATTTCGCGGAAAACATCTTCCCAACCATTCTTCTACCGGATAGATAGATGAGCATTATCTTGAAATTTTTATCAAACTTGTGTGACCTATAAATTTTCTTTAATCGTTTTTTTTTTAAGCATTCCTCTATATTCTATGGGCATTTTGCCTTTTACCTCGGTTGTTCGCCAGCGTCCTCAAAGCGATGTCCAACCCTCTGACTCGCTGAGTTCCGTTGAAATAATTCCGTTGAATTTATTTAAAAGAGTAACTGGACTAAGAAGCGCATCGAATCCCAAAGCGTGACTCTGCAGTACATAAGGTAAAGGAACTCGTTCATCCTTCTGCCACCTCCATAAAATGGCTCTCCTTAATGTCACATTAGAATAAACATCTGGGAAGTGATCCTCGACTATTTTTGCAGGCTGAACGTACTGATAATCATTGACGTACTATCTTCAATAAAGAAACCGCTAACAGGGTAGTTCGCTTAGAACCACCATCTGTGCTTGTTTTGGTCCGGGCAGCAAATCCGCGTACGGACCTATTTCCCAGTTACTAACAAAAGACTGATGCTGTTTCAGCTTGTTCGGAAACGATCTATCTCCTAAAACATAGGTAAGCCAAAGATTTGCTTTCTACGCAACATATCCATATGTGAGAATCTGATTGGTTCCTTTAATCCACCTGACGATGCGTCCCTACGCCTGTTTGTCTGCCTGTAAGTCCTCCCATATGTTTGTGTGCGTGTCGACATGCGTGTTTTCACGTATAGTCACGTCGCGAATCACGAACAGTGAAGTACAGTCCTTGTTGATGTTGTTGTTGCTGTCATCGTCGTTGTTGCTCTGCCTGTCTACGAAACCTAGTAGCAAAAAGAGCAGGACAACTAAGCCGAGAAACGCAACGAGAAAAACAACATCGACCATGTGAGAACAACTGCAATAATAACAGCAGATGAAACAGCAAAACGCGTATTTAGGGCGTGCTCCTATACCGCTTCAAGGAACGGGGCCTCCATTGGCGTTATTATAGCCGCAGCCGTTGAACAGCAAGAGTGGGGCGACGTAACAAGTTAGTTACGGGCTGACTCGACTTTGCTACGGCGTTAATTGCCCTTGGAAGGTGCACCGCCGCAGCCGCTGTTGCCGGCAGCAGCGGCGCGTGTTTTATAAATGCAAAAGAAGCACCTTTTGACAACCCGATGTCCCTGATTGCCGCCTGTAAACAGGGAACTGCCCGGCAATCACAACGGATCGGCAATGTATGCATCCCCATTGGCCTGCTTTTCTGCTTCTTTCTGATTTGTGGTGGAGTCGTTTCGACGGTTTTGGGCATGTCGACCGTTGTTCTTACCGCGTAAGACACACCCGCGCGTTTGCCTTTCTATTACCTAACGCGGCCATCAATGTATAGCTTAGAAATGGCCGCAACGACAGCGACGGCGGTAGCAGCAGTGATAATGCTGGCAGTCTCCGTAGCTGTCATTGCAGCGATGGCAAAAACAACAGCAACGGTACGAGCGCACTTATTCGGTGTATGAACAATCTTTGGTAAGAGTAGCGACTTCTGCTGGAAACTGCCGGAACAACAACAGACATTCTAGCATAGCAGGAGCAATAGCTACGATTACGGCGGGCTTGTGAGCTCATGGCGAATGAGAAAACAAACGGCTGATTTAACTCCACCAGAACTTGGTTGAACCTAGCCACTGAAAGTCAACAGAGCCAACGACATGATTCTGCCGCCGCCGCCGCCGCCGCCGCCGCCGCTCAAGAGTGCAGACCAGCTACAGACCACCAACAATCAGACGAGTCAGCGTGAGTAAAGATGACGCTACGGCCACAGCCGCCCCATTCGTGC